TTGATATAAGTAAAAAAAATACAATGTTTTGTCGCCTGTTCATTTAATAAATATTGAAAAACAAAAAAATACAAACCATTGCAACTAAAGTCACAGTCAACAATGGACATTTTATATGACGCATCAAATTTCGTAGAGAAAATGCTAGTAGCTACAGTCATTTAATTAAAAATGTTTTAAGCATGGTGGTAATTAAAGTTGTTCTACTTACGAACCCGTTTTTACAATCATTTTCAAACTATCTACTTTTCGTTTGAAATAAAAGGTTTTCTTTGGATTAATCATCATTTCACAAGTATTGTAATATACTATGGCACATTTTAATATGGAAAGTTATGTGACAGAATACTTAAAAGAAAACTAATTTAAATATATCGAATTATCATAAATGGTTTCATTTGAATTGATCATCATTTAAAAAATATTCTTATATACAATAACATATTTTAATATGGAATGTGATGTGACAGATTACTCATAAGAAAACTAATTTAAATTTAAACACATCAATTTATCATCAAATCAGTTTCAAGGAAATTATAATTTTAAAATTTTAGAAAAGTTTTCGGTAAGACAAATTTCGTTCTTTATGGTTCAACTTTTAAGTGTGAACATTATTTCAGTCTGTAAGATTATAAGCTATCTCATTTATGGTCATTAAAACAGATCTTCTTTGGGACCAGTAATAGTTCTGTGAGAAATTTATCAGTCTCATAATAGCAGGTTTAGTTAAAGAATGTCTTGCAGACATTAATTTCAAGCTTGTTAACATATCAGTTACTTTGATAATGAGAAAATAATTTACCAGTAGCACTGCAATTACACATTTGTTAACGGACAATCATCCTAAAATAAATATGACGGATTGCTGACTCACATTGTACTATTAACAGATTTGGTAATGTATCTATCGAAAGAAATTTGCCTTTGCTACCACATATCATATTATGTTGTTTTTCATAATTTTTTTGAAGATATTCACATGTATATTTACCATTATTATGTTATTTTATTAATACTTTGGACAAATCATTTCTAGACACAATATCATTATAGCAAAATAGAAAATGTCGATGATTACAAATATATTCGGTGAATTCAACGCCTTGAATATTGATTTTGTCAATTCTGCCAATTAATTATTATTATATGAAATCATTTTATATAACAATATAATACCGAGTTCGCATTCTTCACAGATATTTAGTTTGCATCTTGCCCCATAGATGGTTTGCAAAGTATAACTTAATTAATCATTCTATTCAGCATTCCCCTTTCAGTCCGTTAATAACATTACTGAATACTTTATTGTTAATCCTGTACAAAGTGAATAACCCAATTCTAACTCAGCTTAGGACGTCATGCTCACCAACTTACACAATGTTTTCTGACAGAACAGTGTTAACCTTGAAATTTATTTTCAAAGTTTATGCTTAATAATATGATATTATGTTCACGTCATTTCCAATTATTGTAATGCAAACACTTATCATTTAAATCCCTTGTTAATCGTAACATTAAGAAAGATTTTTACAAGCTATAAAACAAATTGCCGTGTTAATAATGACATCAAAATCCCAGAAGAATGACTGACCGGTTATAGTATTCATCTTCATGTATTCATGTTTAATAACAACTTTATCCTGGTGTCAAATCGCATATATGTGCTTCCTTTTCTGATTTTAAGGATATAAATGGATTGTAATATTCTTTTAATAATTGTATGGAAATAATTTTAAAGGAGTCGCATACATAATAAAAGTGTACTTATGTTTCCTGAAATGTAAACGTTAACTATGCAAATATGCAGTCCAATATAGTTTTACTTTTGTGAGAATTATACATATTACTGTATAATTACAATTACTGCAGAAAATTCATATGTTGTGGTCGAAACTTGATTATCCGGACGAACCACATTTTGAGATATAGACTTGAACAATTATAATCTCATATACCCTGTTACATTACAGTCTCGTCATTTTTAAAGATTCTATTTATGCCTTTTCTTTTAAAATTGAATAGTTTGTACTCTCTTTCAAAAGTGGAGGAAATATATATTTTCAAAGCGAGTTTTGCTAAGAGCTATGTTTTGTCCTTCAATGTTTTTTTCCTGTTTATCCTGTTAATAGTTATTTGATTGATGTTGCACAATTTTCCAACAAATATTTAATGTAAAATATGATATAATGGTTGACAAACTTCCTTAAAAGCCATGCTTTTATGTCTTTGATTTACTTAGAAAGAAACATATAAGTTGTTCTTGAGAATTTATGACATAAATTCTGGCATTTATTTGTATCTATTTACATCTAGAATGCTTTTTATTATCTGAAACAATGCAAATTATTGCATATTAATATTTTGCACAGTGCAGCATTTCCGTTATAAGAAATTAATGTATGTTTTCCATATTAAAACTAAGATTCACTGCTCAAAATAGCATGAATAATATATGAATTGATGGATAGTTTTTAAATTATGTCACTTCTAACAGAAACAATGCATTTTACTATTGGATATCTGAAAAATTAATCTTTATACAGTTTCAAAATGTTCAATTCATATCCATTGGATGATATGCATTGTCGCATAAGTAATACATTACTAATTTTTACGTTACTTTAGTTTCAAATGGATGAAAATAAAACACTTTCCATTTCATTCTGTTTCATACTAGAAAATGATTGTATCATGATAAATTATTCTGTTTTAGAGGGAAAGAAATGTCCGATAACATTTTGAAGAATAAATTACGATGTTTAGATAGTTGCACTTTTTTCATTAAATGAGTAATTTACACTTTGATCTTTATTTAAATAACTCTTTCTACTAAACATTTACATTGAGTAATCATGTTTTTATAAATTGCAGGGTTATTATAAATACAAAAGACCATTTTCAACTCAAGAAAGCTAATACTGTAAATAGTAAAAATAATGTAGTCTTTGTTGTGTTCCCAAGTTGTATACCCAATTTTCGGTACCCAAATAATTGTTTCACTCTACATTATAGCATTGTTTTATTTTACATAATTTCGTTTTGTGTTAGGTTGTTTTGTTTTTTGTTTGTTTTTTGTTTGTTTGTTTTTTTTTAGTTTTTTTTCTCCAGTTGTAGCACTGCCGTAAACTTCATAACAGAAATCTTATCCAACATATTGTTTCCTTTTGAAAACCTTTATTCCATACTTGATTTAATGTTACTAATTTAAAAGATCAAATCTTAAACAGTTTGTCATGTCTTTTCTTTTAAAACTAACATTTGTTCAAGTCATTTAATGATGACCTCTATGAGTTCGAGTAACATGTTTGCTAAAATGAAGAAACGCATTGACAGTCTTTTTTCTGTTACCCTAATGCTAAATAGGTTTACTAATTGCATCGGTGGAAGGTAACTCTTGTTGCACTTTTTTACTTTTTACTTGTAGTAAGAAATGATATCGACTCATAAACAGTGCTTCATTTACTAACAAAGAAATTTCTTTAACATAGACATAAGAAATATAATTGCTCTCAGTGAAAAAAATGATCTAAGAGGTTTTTAATAAATATAAGAATATATTTTGGCCTTTTTGTCGTGAATTCTTTAAAGTTAACATTATTAGTGATGAAGCTATCTTGTTATCTATACTTCATATAAAATGACTTCCTGATAAAGGATATACTCATATAATCTTAATGCTAGTTCCGTACTTAAGAAAAATATCAATGTCTGATTTACATTGATATAATTATGACTGGCACGCAATTAAAAATTCAGTTTTGGTGTTTTGTTGCATTCAGAAACGACAAAAAAGAATTTGATAATTGATGATTAATGTACAACGTTCTCATTTAGCCTTTCCGACATGTGGATTAACATTTTGCTTTTTAATAGTATATTGTTGTAAATAAAAGGTAAAATCTAGTTCATCAGATATAGTTTTCTACATAAATATATGCTATTTTTATCTTACATTTCTATCCTTCCTGTTCATTATGAAAAACGATGTTGAAGCATTGTATTGTTTCTGAAATTTGTTCTTTGGCCGTGCTTATTATCTCATTTAACTTTGGCTTTAACTTCCGGGGGCTGCGTCCTGTGAACATTGCTTTTGCCTCGTTGAAAAGCTATTTGCTTGTTGACATTTACTTGAAATACTTAAATGGCCAATGATCTAAACGTTTCAAAATTGATATAATGGACAACCTTAAGATATATAATTACGTACAGAACAATCTATTTTAATAATTTGACTTTGCTTCGAAAAAACATTGCGAATTAAAAGCAAAGCTACAAGGCAAACAAATGTGTTGAAAGGTTTTTGTGATTTTAATATTTCTACTCTTTTGATGGTAACTGGAAAATAATGACTTTATTGATGTTGTTTTAAGTGGTGTTATTATATTTCTGAAACTGTATCCTTATTTACATAAATTTATTGAATTATATCAAACGAAAGCAATAACGAAATAAAGTAATTTAGTGACCATAAATAATTGATATTAACAATTTGAAATGTGTTTAATATGCAATAATTATTATATTTCAAGAGTTTTTATAAATTCATAGGGATAGAAAATTAAGAGTATCAGCAACCACTTTCTTCTTTAAAATTGCCCTTTATAATGTGTTTACTTTATGTTTAAGTGACCATGCTTTTCAAAAAGGTGTCGTATGAATTCAATCATAATGATCCTATACTCGAATTGAAATTACTTGTTGTGAAGAAAAAAAATATAAGGAAAAAATCATTCCAAAAATAGGGATACACGATGACAATGTTGTACACAGGAAGTGTTTTGTGATGATTGTTATGATGATGTAATGGTTCAAAATATAAATTCAAGTCAAATCTTAACAAAGCTTCTCTTTAATCTAGAAAAGGTTTATGTAACACATTCACGTGCAATGTTCTCATATTATTTGATCAGCTGCCGTATCTGAATGCCACAAGTCCAATAGTAACTATGGTGAGACTGTATTGCTCTTTGTTGCTTCGCTATTTACGAAGCAAAAACAGTCAAACGATTGAAGAGGTTGTGGTAGGATATTATCTCGAATCGTACTTTATTTTCTGTATTGCTATAAAACAGATAAAATGATACCAACTGCTTGATATTATGTAAAGTAACCAATCATATAGTGAACTCTAAAATGCCATGATCTTAATAAGTTATAGATTAATTTTAAAAGACTTGTAACGTGAAATACTTACTCAATGCGATGGATAGAAATAAACGTTTATGAATTTATATATATGAATAGATCTTTACAGGATAAATTATCAAACCCACGGTAAGCTGTTTTGTTGTTGTTTTTTTATAATTGTGTTAAAAATTTTACATTAAACATAGTGTACTCTGATCTGTTTCTTTCACTTTTTTGTACAAATATAGTGTGTCGAAATAATTTATGATTTATAACATTTCAATAGCGTAATTGCTGATAGCCTCGGTAACGCAAGTTTTTGTTGTTGTTTTTTTCTAAATAAAATGTCTAAACCTACGTAGAACTTAATTGAGTTTTAAAAAATGATGTTCAATTATCACCGATAGTTGATTTTGAAATTTTGTTGTAGAGAAGTTTTAACGGCAAATAAACTCTCATTTGTTGCAATAACATGTGTTTTTGTAAATTCTGTTGTTTAATATGCTTTCTCGTCTGTAATGATAGGTAATTACCTTTTATAAACAGAAGCTCTTTCTCAAGATAACGTCCGATGATCATTTAAACAGTATTATTCTAATGTTTATATAAACAATGACAACAACTTTTTCAGCATTAAGTTATATATATTACTTCTAGCCTACAAAATGGCATTTTTTTATAACGTACTTAAAACGCATAATGTTTTTATATTGAGAATACTTTAAAGCATTAGTAAATTGCATTAACAATACAAAACGTTTATGAAAGGTTTAACCGTTATCGATAATGAGCAATGTTATAATGATTTGTATCGATTGTTGTTATATATCAATCGCTACCAATAACAGCATTTTGCATGTTGTGATTAAGCTTAACTTTATCTGTAAAGTTACAATTTTTGCGGTATTACAAATTATTTTGGAGCGGATGAAATAAATGTGTGTGGTTTTATTTTAATTAACAGTACCTTGTATTTTGACTTCAAATCTGATTTAAGGCTTATGCAAGCAAGTAACATTGACGTATAATTGTTTCTGATATAGTTCATTCATAAGAAAAAGTAAATAAAGACATAAGACATGTTTGCAAATATGAATAGCGGATCTATCTGATTGTGAAGTAAATTAGGCCAAGAGTTAACGTGTCTTGCTTCGATAGTTTATGTCCAACTGAGATCAGGATTATGTATCTTTTTATGATAACTTATATTAAGTCTAGGTATCGGAATCGCGAGTTATTCAAATAATTTTAAATATGCCGTCATGATCGGCCTTGAATAAGTCTGACAGTATAAATCTACCCTATTCTGCCTTCTTACTTTACGACTATACGATATATAGAAAGTTAACCGATGGATATTCCTCCGTGTTTAGCATGGTATGTTCAATACGAGTTCATACGGTGAAATAAATATTGTTACAGGCGTACAGGACAGTTAGTTAAACCAAATAGATTTAAGAATTATTCTCGAGCATCAAGAACTTTAAGCGAATTTACACTGAGTTGAATGTTCTCTGTTTGCGGACAATAAATGATAAAGAACTGTGAAATGAAAACTGTTGTGAAAATATTGAAACATATTTGTATTGGAACTGCATTATTTTTAATTTGAGTACATGGAGAAAATTTAACAAAATATACATATTTGTACTCAGTTTAGGAAATAAAATCGTCATAAAAAGGGTAAGTCCAATTTGTTTTACAACAAACGTGGTTTTTAGCAATTACAGTTGATATCTAAAATTATGGTTAATCAGCGGTAATCTACTTTATAAACTGTTCTTTAAGAAAAGAGGTTAATTTCAAGTTGTTATATTGCAGACAAATTACAGCAGATATATCATCGTGTAGTCTCGTCAGATCAGATATTATTTTACTATTTGGTTAAATATCAAAACAAATCGAATACTTAGATATGAATTTCTCTAAAGCTGATTGAAGAATGTTGTTTAATATTCTTGCAGGAATTTTCCAATTTTCTTAAGCGTTGAAAAAGAAAATTTGCGTGGAACATCAGCGTGCTTTAATACCCTATCTTTACCTTATATATTTTTACCGACTTTATCGATGACATGTTATACAAAAATTTCAACCAAAGCAGAGAATTCTTGCCTTAAGAAATTCAATTATAAAACTCTTTTGAATCGGAAAATTAGTTACTAATATAACACTGCCTACAGTTGTTGAAAATGCATAAAAGATATGTAAAGGTTATTTTATCAACGCATAAAAGATATGTAAACCAACATATTGTATTGAGTAAATATCGAGATATACTTAATTTTCAGCTGCATGTCATTATGTATGTGTTAGTAACCAGTTGGTTGAATCATTTGTCTGCAGTATGCTCTCACACCTTCATAAACTGTACTTGGTTAACTGTTAGTACTTTTTCTGTAATATACTTATAAGATGACATTGCCGATATTATTACGTTCAAATGTGAAGGGAGTTTAGCTCCGTGTTATTTAATGTGCATAAATTATATAAGAAAAAAAATAAACCGCTCCCTAACAAATTGTTCAGCGACTATTTAAGTAGGTGAAACAGTTCTTTCAAGATAGCGTCATCCGATTTTTAATGAATGTTTATTAACGTTATTTCTTTTTTCGTTTTTTATACTTTTGTGTCAACATTGTTAAAATACAAATCTTTTTTATATCGATTACAGACTGATTCATACAATTTTATTTATTTTGAGATGAGAAGACTAAATCACTGATATGCAATACTAATTAAATATATTATATCCTCTGAAATGTTTGTATATATTATGAAATCATTTGATTCCAGGTTTGATCAACACTGTCACATGGATTTCCAATATATTCAATTAGTAAAGTATTCTTATCGCCTCATATGGGAGTACATTATCCATGTTTATTCTACAATCCAAATGTTTGTTTAACAGAGATGAAATAATATTGGTAAATAACTTGATAAAATTACAACATGTTCAATAAATGGAACAGCGTAATCAATTTCTCTATTCTGGTTTGAATGAACAAACACAAATAGTTGATTTGCTTGTTAAAGAGGTAATTGGTATTTTTGCAGAATATTGTACAGCTGATTAAATTGTAAATACAGATATCAGTTAAAAACGTGCTTGCTAAAATGAGGTCATTATACATGGTTGTTGAGTGCAAAACCGAATGTTATTAGAGGAGAACAGGGTTCAAATTTATATAAGACAAGGCGCTAACCGAAACTTATATAGATTTTGCAGCTGTGTCAGAGTTCGTAGATTACTTTGCTGTTACTGTGCTGTATCTGTCAAAGTGGTAAACAAATCTAATGACTTAGGGAGCTTTAAAAAAGATGTGTTTGTTTTGAAAGTTTTAGGGGTGTTCTTCTTAAATTTATAAAACTGAATAATTTAAATATGTTGCATTTTCAAAAAATAAATAAAAGATACCTACAACATCCTGAATTTCACTTTTTATATTTAAAACTATATAAAAATAGCAAATTCATTTAAAATGAGTTTCTACCATCAGCTGCGTTCTAAGAGAAATTATATGCAAGAATTAGACGGCTCATTGGTTATAAAATACATTTTCCGAATGGCAGTCGAGTAGAAAAATTGCTAAAGCATGTTTAATTTATATCACATATATAATGATACTATATTGCAGATCTCTGTAATATGTAATTTCTTTTTCAAACTTTATTACTTTTACATTATTTGAGAGTTTATCAACTGAGAAATTGTTGTTGCTTAAGTTTGTCCGTAGGCTAATCCCAAAATAAAAAAATATTATATTAACTAATAGTATATTATATATAAAATATTTAGATGAGACAAGATGCAACAGTCTATTTCAGAGATAAAGAAAATAATTCATTTATACTGACAATAATAAGTTTCAAGTTGTAAACAATCGCCCTTCTGTCCAATTGTTTCATATTTGAATACTGAGCTATATTGGTGTATCGGATTTGAATATAATTATGTAGTCGCTGCTCATGTCATGCCAAAATGTTAACTTTTAAAATCATGAATGAATGACATTAAAAGTAGGAATAAAAATAAAGATTTGGAAAAAATATAGATGTGAATACCAGTTAGTGTCGTTCTACAGCCACTAAGTCTAACATGGTAAATTGCTTTCTTATGTTGAGCTCGGATTTAACCGCCTACTTATATTTCTGAATCATATTCCGTATTCTTATCTACTCTTCTTCTCTCGTATTAGCTATATATCGCTTGTTTCGAGGGGTAATTGCTAATTTGTATATGAGAACACTCTCAAAAGAAAATATCGTACTTGTTTAGGTATATGCAAATTAGCTAGATTTATTTGAATAACCTCATTCATATTTTGATGACTAATTTTGATAGACATTTTAAATAAATACTATGTGCACTGTTATGAAAGGAATTACTCGCGAGATAATTCTGAACGATAAATCATTGCTATTAATTTGCTCTTATAATGTGTTTAATCCTAAAATACAGAAACAATCAGAAATGTTCCAATACTCAGATAACGACATTCACTTCAGGCTATGTGTTAAACTAATCTCTTTCAACATCTTTGTAAACTTCATCATCAATAAACATGTAGAAAGAAAAAAGCAGCTTGAAAACTCTTTGACTTTTTAAATATATGTTTCATTTTACTTATGCATATCGAGGATATTCGTTTCAAAGTGTTTTTTCTGGGTTTGTTTATATACTTATAGCTCACATCTGAATATCAATTATTATTCACTTACAATCTCCCTATTTTATTGCAGTTCATATGAAAAATAATAAGATAGAGAAAATCTGAATCCCTAAAGAACGCCCAAAATGACAAAATTGAAAATGCTGCTCGCTCTGTTTGATCGAGTCTGTTCATGGACGGTACTGAAAAGTGCAAGTTACCGTCCCCGCCTGCTAGCGCTAACTTAAGCAGAATTCAACATTTATTCATGGCAATTGTGAAATTACGTTTTATTAGCAGAAACAGGTACCAATGTTTAATATGTAATAGCAAACAGAAAGAGCATTGACACACGAGGCTATCTTGATTTGTACGAGGGGCGTAGCCCCCGAGTATAAATCAGATTGTCGAGTGATTTGATGTTCTTTCTCTTTTTAATGTTATCAAAATAAAAGCACTTTCCCTGTCGTCAAGATATGTAAACCACAGAAAAAT